GGAGAGAGCATGCACTGGACCACCATTGGTGGTCCAGTGCATGCTCTCTCCGATGATAAGCAGGTATCCAGTAGATCCTTCTGTACTGCCTAAGAGCCGCAGGGTCTGCCAGGACCTCCCCAGTTTGAAAACACCTTCACATATACATAGCCAGACTAATGATGTTCGCCCAGAGCCCTTCCTTGCTGCTTGAAACTGACAGGTGAGAATCTCCCAGTATGCTCGCTGCGGTGCTTTGGCGTCGGTTTTAGCTTTGGGTGTTTTGGACCCAGGGCTTGCTGGGCTTAAGCTTCGGGGGTTTTCGGGTTTTAGGGTTTAGGGCTTCGGGTAGTACGTGCTATCTGCCTATGATCACATGGGTAGTTCCCAAGATTAGGGTCCCATTGTAGTACCCCTAAATATTAGGTGCCGCAATACAAGCTATAGCCAAAAGGGGCCTTTTTTTTGAGAACAACCCGTACATTTTAGCAGGATGGGTGTAGGCTAACGCCAGTCTGAGCGCGCCAGCAGCCTTGCTATGCTGACATCTATAAAGACTTTGACCGGATTGTTGACATGCTATATCCTGCATGGCCCGGTAAATCCAGGAGGGTAGAGTTGCTTAGCTTCCTTCATTCAGGCCAGTGGGGTAGATAGAAAACTATAGAGTTTGGGTGCCTAAACCTTTATACCCTAAACCCTTGAACCCTAAACTCCAACCCCTTCATCCCAAAGTCCCAAATCCTTCACCCCAAAATGTCTAAATCCCACAGCCTCATGTAGCAGACTCCGCTGCGTGGCAGGTTTCGGACTCACAGGTCTTAGGGCACTGGCCCGGCACTCAGCGCCTTCTGCACAAGGTGAGCTATAGTCTTAACTCCTAGTATCCCCCCTACTAACCCCAATAGTAGTCCCCTTTTCATTCACCTACATAGCCCCCTTGAAGGAGTTTAGACTATGGCACGGGTTGAGGCTTCAGGTTGGGGTCTTGGGGTGGTTTGGGGTTGGGCGTTCAGGGGTTAAGGGTTTGGTGGGTTCTCTGGTGGTTTTTGGTGGAAATCGTGTGTTCACCCCATATCTGAAGCATGTTTCAAAGTTGGAGAAGCGTTGTGAGTGTGCGGACTCCTCAAGATCCCTCTAAAAGTGGAAGGGGGCTATGGCTTCATAAGGCGGCCGTGCTGTGGCACTTCAGCTCCGACGCAGAGGCCAGATGGCAATGCTCCTATGCTGTGTATGGCCAGTGAGCTAGAGTCTAAACTCCTTACAGGGGGGTATATAGGGGACTATATAGGGGAGTCGTATAGGGGCTTATTAGGGGGGATACTAGGAGTTTGGCTCCGGGTGCGCCAAGTGCCCGGGCTGGCACCGTTCGTGTTCCA